CGCTGCACTATTTATTGACTAGGTGAGACATATTTTAATTAATCCTAATAGCAAGATCTTTAGATATTATTTTGAAGTCTGCATTAATCAATGAAATGATGTATTATGATTCACATTTAGTTGGATCCTTATGGGGTTTCAAAATAAGAGCTAGGAACACCTCATGCATTGGGGGCAGGGGGATAATATTGTGTCTTCCAGCACTGCACTAAAGCTACCATATCTAGTAAATGTGGGTTGAGCAGTTGTTTAAACTTACTGTACAAATCAACTGGGAAGTCATCTAGTCCTGGTTTTTTTTGGGGGGGTAGGGAGTGGAAAGATTGGAATTTCAATCTCAGTTGCATTTTTGTCTAGATAAGTGAATAGTTGGTCATGGTATGTTGAACAGTTGAGAAATACAGTGAAGAGTAAAAGGATGTGAAGGCAGTCAGAATCTCATGGCATGACTCTTGGCCTTTACTCAGTTGGTCTATAATTGGTTGAATAAACATTGGGGTATATTCTGGTCTATCCAAGTAAGCACTCAATCTATCAGGATTGAGGTTTGAGTGGAATATACCATTTTTTTCTTAGTGAGATTAAGCAAGCAAAGATCATGCTCCCTTTGTTTTTCATGCCAGTCTCTATGGTTATCTGGTATGTGCATGCTTTTTGCTTAAAGCATAACCTCCTCTATAGTGGCAGCAGGAGCTATTGTATTTTTCAAAAGTAAGTCCTTGTTATAAGATATAAATGTTCCATGTAAGGTGGCATTGGAGGCCTCCCAGAGAGTGTCTAGGGTCAACCAGCCAATCAAGATTTAAGCACCAAATTACTGGGCTATGTGGATGAAGAAGTTGATGTTAAGGGACTAGGGCAGTGATGGCGAACCCGTGGCACGCGTGCCACAGCCGGCACGCCGAGCCTTATCTGTGGGCACGCCAGGAGAATCCAGCGGCGCGCTGTCTTCCCGGCTGTAGTGTGCGTGACAGCCGGGTCCCAAGTGCGCATGCACAAGAAGCAGTGCTCTTTGTGAATGGTAAGGCGGTACCTGGGACACATGACAGATCCCAGAAGCCGCCGGACCAATCACAAAGCGCAGCGCTTCTCGCGCATGCGCACTGGGCATCCGGCTGTCCGCCCACACTACAGAAGCCGGGAAGACAACGCACGGCTGGATAAAGGAACAGGTAAGATAAAAAAAAAAACTCTGCGGAAGTAAGAGCAGGTACCTGTCAAATTCAGGTACCCGCTCCCCCTCCCTCCCCAAAGGTCAGCAGTCATCCCTGTGCTGTCCGCAGTCTCTGGTCATCCCTGTGCTGTCCGCAGTCTCTGGTCATCCCTGTGCTGTCCGCAGTCTCTGGTCATCCCTGTGCTGTCCGCAGTCTCTGGTCATCCCTGTGCTGTCCGCAGTCTCTGGTCATCCCTGTGCTGTCCGCAGTCTCTGGTCATCCCTGTGCTGTCCGCAGTCTCTGGTCATCTCCTGTGCTGTCCGCAGTCTCTGGTCATCTCCTGTGCTGTCCGCAGTCTCTGGTCATCTCCTGTACTGTCCGCAGTCTCTGGTCATCTCCTGTACTGTCCGCAGTCTCTGGTCATCTCCTGTACTGTGTCCGCAGTCTCTGGTCATCCCTGTACTATGTCCGCAGTCTCTGGTCATCCCTGTACTGTGTCCGCAGTCTCTGGTCATCCCTGTACTGTGTCCGCAGTCTCTGGTCATCCCTGTACTGTGTCCGCAGTCTCTGGTCATCCCTGTACTTTCCGCAGTCTCTGGTCATCCCTGTACTTTCCGCAGTCTCTGGTCATCCCTGTACTGTCCGCAGTCTCTGGTCATCTCCTGTACTGTCCGCAGTCTCTGGTCATCTCCTGTACTGTTCGCAGTCTCTGGTCATCTCCTGTACTGTGTCCGCAGTCTCTGGTCATCTCCTGTACTGTGTCCGCAGTCTCTGGTCATCTCCTGTACTGTGTCCGCAGTCTCTGGTCATCTCCTGTACTGTCCGCAGTCTCTGGTCATCTCCTGTACTGTCCGCAGTCTCTGGTCATCTCCTGTACTTTCCGCAGTCTCTGGTCATCCCTGTACTGTGTCCGCAGTCTCTGGTCATCCCTGTACTGTCCGCAGTCTCTGGTCATCTCCTGTACTGTCCGCAATCTCTGGTCATCTTCTGTACTGTTCGCAGTCTCTGGTCATCTCCTGTACTGTGTCCGCAGTCTCTGGTCATCTCCTGTACTGTGTCCGCAGTCTCTGGTCATCTCCTGTACTGTCCGCAGTCTCTGGTCATCTCCTGTACTGTCCGCAGTCTCTGGTCATCTCCTGTACTTTCCGCAGTCTCTGGTCATCCCTGTACTGTCCGCAGTCACTGGTCATCCCTGTACTGTGTCCGCAGTCTCTGGTCATCTCCTGTACTATGTCCGCAGTCTCTGGTCATCCCTGTACTGTCCGCAGTCTCTGGTCATCTCCTGTACTTTCCGCAGTCTCTGGTCATCCCTGTACTGTGTCCGCAGTCTCTGGTCATCCCTGTACTGTGTCCGCAGTCTCTGGTCATCCCTGTACTGTCCGCAGTCTCTGGTCATCCCTGTACTGTCCGCAGTCTCTGGTCATCCCTGTACTGTGTCCGCAGTCTCTGGTCATCCCTGTACTGTCCGCAGTCTCTGGTCATCTCCTGTACTGTCCGCAGTCTCTGGTCATCTCCTGTACTGTGTCCGCAGTCTCTGGTCATCTCCTGTACTGTGTCCGCAGTCTCTGGTCATCTCCTGTACTGTCCGCAGTCTTTGGTCATCCCTGTACTGTGTCCGCAGTCTCTGGTCATCCCTGTACTGTGTCCGCAGTCTCTGGTCATCTCCTGTACTGTGTCCGCAGTCTCTGGTCATCCCTGTACTGTGTCTGCAGTCTCTGGTCATCCCTGTACTGTGTCTGCAGTCTCTGGTCATCCCTGTACTGTGTCTGCAGTCTCTGGTCATCTCCTGTACTTTCCGCAGTCTCTGGTCATCCCTGTACTGTCCGCAGTCACTGGTCATCCCTGTACTGTGTCCGCAGTCTCTGGTCATCTCCTGTACTGTGTCCGCAGTCTCTGGTCCTCCCTGTACTGTCCGCAGTCTCTGGTCATCCCTGTACTGTGTCCGCAGTCTCTGGTCATCCCTGTACTGTCCGCAGTCTCTGGTCATCCCCTGTACTCTCCGCAGTCTCTGGTCATCTTCTGTACTGTTCGCAGTCTCTGGTCATCTCCTGTACTGTGTCCGCAGTCTCTGGTCATCTCCTGTACTGTGTCCGCAGTCTCTGGTCATCTCCTGTACTGTCCGCAGTCTCTGGTCATCTCCTGTACTGTGTCCACAGTCTCTGGTCATCCCTGTACTGTGTCTGCAGTCTCTGGTCATCCCTGTACTGTGTCCGCAGTCTCTGGTCATCCCTGTACTGTGTCCGCAGTCTCTGGTCATCCCTGTACTGTTAATTAGTTTGCACTACTGTACGAGTTGTTTTTTTTTTCTAAACCAAAAGCTCGATATTCAGGTTTCATTGCAGTGTTGGCACTTTGAAAGAAATAAGTTGGTTTTGGGTTGCAGTTTGGGCACTCGGGCTCAAAAAGGTTCGCCATCACTGGACTAGGGGCTTTATCTGAATAAGTGAGCTATATTGGAGTAAGTGTTGTGAGGGATGAGGAGGATACAGTGGATCTATCCTGAACATTGTGGTATGAAATGGCAAGAAAATTGTTGGTCTTCTAGATGTCTTGACTTCCACATATGAACAAAATCAGTTTTTAGTATCCAGTCTAGAGATACAGTACAAGGTTCACTTGATTCTCCCAAATGATTGATTCTCCCAAATGACCTCTTACAGCATCTGGAAAGCATGAAAATATCCTAATACAAGAGGTGCCTCTGCTATATCAAGAACTTATTTTGATCAATAAGGTCAGGTCAAAGGAGTGGGGCAAATATTTACCAGGGTTAGTATTTTTGCTTGCTATCTCTAGTTTAAGTATAACATAACAACCTCCTGGGTCTGTTTTAAAGTATAGAGTCCACACCTGAAGTCATTTACCAGTATACTAGAATAGAGACTCACCTGGAGTATTAATGTGTGGCATTAACATTTGAGATATCCAGTGCTTTTAAGCACTAAGATTATAGAACCCACCAGGGGAGTTTCCTGTAAGCATACAAAATGTGGTTTGTGTTTCCTAAGGTAATTGAATATAAGTAATTGCTTGAGTTCCAAGTTCAGGAGGTATTCCAGATGATAATCTTCACATCATCAAAACATATTGAGGATACAGCAAAAGAGTTACAGGACATTCATACACAATATATTCCATGGCATGGCAAAGACAGTGCAAAAGATTAAACAGTGTTCCTAAAACCCTGCTCATCTCTACACAGGCTACAGAGAGATTAGATTAGATTCCCGTATCAGCAAGAAGTTGGCAACTGCAATAAACATAAGAGAAAATTTGATGGCTAACATGAAAGTCCACAGATCCTCTTGCCCCATTCACTAGTGTTCAGAAGTGGGGATCACCAGTAGAGATCTCAATCACTGCTCTCAGCTCTGATTAGACCAAGAACTAAGTGATCAGCGGTCATGTGATTGCTCAGTTCTTGGACTCAGAGCTGGCGGGGGACATGAAGGTGAGTATGTGTGTTTTTTTCTATATTTCTCCTTTGACAGTGTTCAGCTGGAATTCACCAATGAATCATCCCACAATGCATTGCAAAAAAAAAGCATAATTGGCCAAAGTCTTGAACCTGAATTCTGGTGCAAGACTTTGGCCAAAGTTGCAGCCCACACATGATAAAAAGGCAGCTCTCAAAGCAAACCTTTGTGTTTTAGTGAGAGTGAGGGACAGCTGACTGTGTTTTTAGAGAGAGTTATGTATTGCTAGTGTCGTGTGTAGAGATGAGCGAAGTATTCAAAAATTCGATTCGACTGATTCGGCGAATTCGTGGACAATATTCGATTCGAGTCGAATATATTCGCTGTGAATTTAACTTAAAAAAGGGTGTTTCTAGGCTTCAGAGAGCCTTTATATTAGTGCAGAACACTGTACCTTTAATTTAAATGCCCTTGGAGTCTGCTGGGGAAGAGAAATAATACTGTCAGTCAGTATGACATGCAGATGAGTGCCGTCAATCTTAGAATCACCGCACACTTCACTCATTTGGCCAGTCACGGGGCCAAAACCAGTGTTTGGAGCCACAGTGTGGCGGTGGAGGCAGCAGCAATGGGAGGCCATACAGCAACCTATGACAAAATGGAAACCAGCAGGAGTGTGAGGAGACCTCAAAGTGGCACATGGCAGAGTGGGAGCAATTGGAGGCGGTACAGGGACCCATGTCACACTGTGGACCCAGCAGCAGCGTGACGAGGCGGTACGGGGGCCCATGGCAGATTTGGGGCCTGGCAGCACCTATGGGAGGCCTGTAATCTGCCAGCAACCTATGACAAAATGGAAAACAGCAGGAGTGTGAGGAGACCTCAAAGTGGCACATGGCAGAGTGGGAGCAATGGGAGGCGGTACAGGGACCCATGTCAAACTGTGGACCCAGCAGCAGCGTGACCAGGCGGTACGGGGGCCCATGGCAGATTACAGGCCTGGCAGCAGCAATGGGAGGCCCGTAATCTGTCAGCACCCTATGACAAAAAATGGAACACACCAGCAGTGTGTGAGGAGACCTGAAAGTGGCACATGGCAGAGTGTGGCGATGGAGACAGCAGCAATGGGAGGCCGTACAGGGACCCATGAGAGACTCTGGACCTGGCAGCAGCATGAGGAGGCGGTATAGGGGCCCATGGCAGATTAGGGGCCTGGCAGCAGCTATAGGAGGCCCGTAATCTGCCAGCACCCTATGACAAAAAATTCAACACACCAGCAGTGTGTGAGGAGACCTGAAAGTGGCACATGGCAGAGTGTGGCGATGGAGACAGCAGCAATGGGAGGCCGTACAGGGACCCATGAGAGACTCTGGACCTGGCAGCAGCATGAGGAGGCGGTATAGGGGCCCATGGCAGATTAGGGGCCTGGCAGCAGCTATGGGAGGCCCGTAATCTGCCAGCACCCTATGTCAAAAAATTCAACACACCAGCAGTGTGTGAGGAGACCTGAAAGTGGCACATGGCAGAGTGTGGCGATGGAGACAGAGCAGCAATGGGAGGCCGTACAGGGACCCATGAGAGACTCTGGACCTGGCAGCAGCATGAGGAGGCGGTATATAGGGGCCCATGGCAGATTAGGGGCCTGGCAGCAGCTATGGGAGGCCCGTAATCTGCCAGCACCCTATGTCAAAAAATTCAACACACCAGCAGTGTGTGAGGAGACCTGAAAGTGGCACATGGCAGAGTGTGGCGATGGAGACAGCAGCAATGGGAGGCCGTACAGGGACCCATGACAGACTCTGGACTTGGCAGCAGCATGAGGAGGCGGTATATAGGCCCATGGCAGATTAGGGGCCTGGCAGCAGCTATGGGAGGCCCGTAATCTGCCAGCACCCTATGTCAAAAAATTCAACACACCAGCAGTGTGTGAGGAGACCTGAAAGTGGCACATGGCAGAGTGTGGCGATGGAGACAGCAGCAATGGGAGGCCGTACAGGGACCCATGAGAGACTCTGGACCTGGCAGCAGCATGAGGAGGCGGTATATAGGGGCCCATGGCAGATTAGGGGCCTGGCAGCAGCTATGGGAGGCCCGTAATCTGCCAGCACCCTATGTCAAAAAATTCAACACACCAGCAGTGTGTGAGGAGACCTGAAAGTGGCACATGGCAGAGTGTGGCGATGGAGACAGCAGCAATGGGAGGCCGTACAGGGACCCATGAGAGACTCCTCTGGACCTGGCAGCAGCATGAGGAGGCGGTATATAGGGGCCCATGGCAGATTAGGGGCCTGGCAGCAGCTATGGGAGGCCCATAATCTGCCAGCACCCTATGTCAAAAAATTCAACACACCAGCAGTGTGAGGAGACCTGAAAGTGGCACATGGCAGAGTGTGGCGATGGAGACAGCAGCAATGGGAGGCCGTACAGGGACCCATGAGAGACTCTGGACCTGGCAGCAGCATGAGGAGGCGGTATATAGGGGCCCATGGCAGATTAGGGGCCTGGCAGCAGCTATAGGAGGCCCGTAATCTGCCAGCACCCTATGTCAAAAAATTCAACACACCAGCAGTGTGTGAGGAGACCTGAAAGTGGCACATGGCAGAGTTTGGCGATGGATGGAGACAGCAGCAATGGGAGGCCGTACAGGGACCCATGACAGACTCTGGACCTGGCAGCAGCATGAGGAGGCGGTATATAGGGGCCCATGGCAGATTAGGGGCCTGGCAGCAGCTATGGGAGGCCCGTAATCTGCCAGCACCCTATGTCAAAAAATTCAACACACCAGCAGTGTGAGGAGACCTGAAAGTGGCACATGGCAGAGTGTGGCGATGGAGACAGCAGCAATGGGAGGCCGTACAGGGACCCATGAGAGACTCTGGACTTGGCAGCAGCATGAGGAGGCGGTATATAGGGGCCCATGGCAGATTAGGGGCCTGGCAGCAGCTATGGGAGGCCCGTAATCTGCCAGCACCCTATGTCAAAAAAATTCAACACACCAGCAGTGTGTGAGGAGACCTGAAAGTGGCACATGGCAGAGTGTGGCGATGGAGACAGCAGCAATGGGAGGCCGTACAGGGACCCATGAGAGACTCTGGACCTGGCAGCAGCATGAGGAGGCGGTATATAGGGGCCCATGGCAGATTAGGGGCCTGGCAGCAGCTATGGGAGGCCCGTAATCTGCCAGCACCCTATGTCAAAAAATTCAACACACCAGCAGTGTGAGGAGACCTGAAAGTGGCACATGGCAGTGTGGCGATGAGACAGCAGCAATGGGAGGCCGTACAGGGACCCATGGACTCTGGCTGGCAGCAGCATGAGGAGGCGGTATATAGGGGCCCATGGCAGATTAGGGGCCTGGCAGCAGCTATGGGAGGCCCGTAATCTGCCAGCACCCTATGTCAAAAAATTCAACACACCAGCAGTGTGAGGAGACCTGAAAGTGGCACATGGCAGAGTGTGGCGATGGAGACAGCAGCAATGGGAGGCCGTACAGGGACCCATGAGAGACTCTGGACCTGGCAGCAGCATGAGGAGGCGGTATATAGGGGCCTATGGCAGATTAGGGGCCTGGCAGCAGCTATAGGAGGCCCGTAATCTGCCAGCACCCTATGTCAAAAAATTCAACACACCAGCAGTGTGTGAGGAGACCTGAAAGTGGCACATGGCAGAGTGTGGCGATGGAGACAGCAGCAATGGGAGGCCGTACAGGGACCCATGACAGACTCTGGACTGGCAGCAGCATGAGGAGGCGGTATATAGGGGCCCATGGCAGATTAGGGGCCTGGCAGCAGCTATGGGAGGCCCGTAATCTGCCAGCACCCTATGTCAAAAAAACAACACACCAGCAGTGTGAGGAGACCTGAAAGTGGCACATGGCAGAGTGTGGCGATGGAGACAGCAGCAATGGGAGGCCGTACAGGGACCCATGACAGACTCTGGACTTGGCAGCAGCATGAGGAGGCGGTATATAGGGGCCCATGGCAGATTAGGGGCCTGGCAGCAGCTATAGGAGGCCCGTAATCTGCCAGCACCCTATGTCAAAAAATTCAACACACCAGCAGTGTGTGAGGAGACCTGAAAGTGGCACATGGCAGAGTGTGGCGATGGAGACAGCAGCAATGGGAGGCCGTACAGGGACCCATGAGAGACTCTGGACCTGGCAGCAGCATGAGGAGGCGGTATAGGGGCCCATGGCAGATTAGGGGCCTGGCAGCAGCTATGGGAGGCCCGTAATCTGCCAGCACCCTATGTCAAAAAAATTCAACACACCAGCAGTGTGAGGAGACCTGAAAGTGGCACATGGCATGATGGAGACAGCAGCAATGGCCGTACAGGGACCCAGCATGAGGTGGCGGTATAGGGGCCCATGGCAGATTAGGGGCCTGGCAGCAGCTATGGGAGGCCCGTAATCTGCCAGCACCCTATGTCAAAAAATTCAACACACCAGCAGTGTGAGGAGACCTGAAAGTGGCACATGGCAGAGTGTGGCGATGGAGACAGCAGCAATGGGAGGCCGTACAGGGACCCATGACAGACTCTGGACTTGGCAGCAGCATGAGGAGGCGGTATATAGGGGCCCATGGCAGATTAGGGGCCTGGCAGCAGCTATGGGAGGCCCGTAATCTGCCAGCACCCTATGTCAAAAAATTCAACACACACCAGCAGTGTGAGGAGACCTGAAAGTGGCACATGGCAGAGTGTGGCGATGGAGACAGCAGCAATGGGAGGCCGTACAGGGACCCATGACAGACTCTGGACTTGGCAGCAGCATGAGGAGGCGGTATATAGGGGCCCATGGCAGATTAGGGGCCTGGCAGCAGCTATAGGAGGCCCGTAATCTGCCAGCACCCTATGTCAAAAAATTCAACACACCAGCAGTGTGTGAGGAGACCTGAAAGTGGCACATGGCAGAGTGTGGCGATGGAGACAGCAGCAATGGGAGGCCGTACAGGGACCCATGAGAGACTCTGGACCTGGCAGCAGCATGAGGAGGCGGTATAGGGGCCCATGGCAGATTAGGGGGGCCTGGCAGCAGCTATAGGAGCCCCGTAATCTGCCACACCCTATGTCAAAAAATTCAACACACCAGCAGTGTGAGGAGACCTGAAAGTGGCACATGGCATGAGACACTGTGGACCTGGCAGCAGCATGAGGAGGCGGTATAGGGGCCCATGGCAGATCAGGGGCCTGGCAGCAGCTATGGGGAGGCCCGTAAATCTGCCAGCACCCTATGTCAAGTGTGGCGATGGAGACAGCAGCAATGGGAGGCCGTACAGGGACCCATTGACAGACTCTGGACTTGGCAGCAGCATGAGGAGGCGGTATAGGGGCCCATGGCAATTAGGGGCCTGGCAGCAGCTATGGGAGGCCCGTAATCTGCCAGCACCCTATGTCAAAAAATTAACGTCACACAGCAGTGTGATGAAGAGACCTGGGAACGTGGGCAACATGGTCAGCAGCTAAGTGTGGCAGATTGCGACACAGACCAGGCAATGGGAGGATCCAGTATCAGGGACACCCATTAGGATTTAGACTCAGGACCTGTGGCAGCACCAAGAAGGAGGGCGGGGATATATAGGGGCCCATGGCAGATTAAGGGCCTGGCACAAT